GGCCAGCCAATAGAAGCTTGCAGAGGCGGGGCCGTCCGAGGTCTGCTGCTGCGGCGGGGCTTGCAGGTTCGTGGACGCGCCGTTGGGGGAGGGGTTCAGGGGTCGCGGGGGCGCTGGGGGTCCCAGCCGAGCCAAGGACGCTGGGCGCGGTGGGCACTCGCCTTTGCTGTCTCATCAGGGCTCCCAGACTGTACCCAGCGTCCCCATTGGGCTTGAGCTGGGAAGAGCTGCGGGGCAGGCAGCGAAGGCGGAGATGGCGGAGGGCGGTGGGACGCGAGGCGAGGGTCAGGGCCAGGCCTTGTCGGAGGAACCCAGGACTGACTCTGTCGGGTCCACCAGGTTGCTGATGGGGAGCCGGAGACTTGTGGGGAGGGATAGCAGCGTTGGGCGACCGTGTTTAGGAGGCCTCGGGATCCTGGATCTCAGCCCCCAGCCCCATTCCAGCTTCTGGGCCAAGGGGCCCACTTTCCCCTTCTACAACTCCATGTCTCTTTTCCAGGGCCCGGTCTTGCTGGCTCAGCAAGACTGACAAGCATGAAGCTCCTGTCCTTGGTGGCCGTGGTGGGGTGTTTACTGGTGCCCCCAGCTCAAGCCAACAAGGTGAGGGGTAGTGAGCCAGCTGCACCGTATGCTGTCCAGGGGCTTGCCCACAGTGGCTTCTGCCCAGGCCATGCCCCTTGCTCACCACTGGGCCATACTCTGGGGGTTTTCACTCCGGCTCAAGGTTGCAGGCCTCCCTGAGGTTGAGCGAGGGGACAGGTGGTGCCCAGAGCACAGGTTCCGGTGGTGGAATTCCAGCCAGGAAGTTTGTTTGGGGAAGTTTTCTGAGTGCCCATACATGCCTTTGCTCCTGGGTAGAGTAATGATGCTATCTCCCGGGATACTAGAGAGAATCAACTTACAGAGCTGTGAAAAAAATGCTCTGTAAAGTCCGAGTGGCTGTCCCTGAGGGTAACCCATGTAAGTGCTGGGACTCCTGAGATTACCGCTATGGATCTTTAAGCCTGAGTAACCCAAAGCTGGGTGGGCGCTCCATGGCATTTGAGATATTGAGGATCACCCAGGTTTTGAAGTCAGGTTGAGCCTGGGGGTTTCCTTCCATTCACTCTACAGAATTCCTAATGGAGTACAGACTTTGTGTTGCTCTTACCCGTTCCAGAGGGGGAGAACTTTTGAAGGGGTTGCCTGTGTATTCCCACAGCAACGATCCACTTTTTCTTGCTCACCTCACCTTGTTCCCACCCCCTGCCCTAACCTAGGAAGTTGAAGATGGAATGGGGAAAGAGGCTGACCACCAAGCCCACTGTAGGAAGGTGCACACACAGTGTGGGGCCCAGGGTAGAGGATTGTCATCGTCCCCTTATAGGCACCCCCCTTACGGATTGGCCGCCCAAGGCAGCTCTCCGTGAGTGTGATTTTGTCTTAAGGATGACGTAGTGCCCTTCTTACAGTAGCAGTCCTCGCTGAACTTGGGGCTGGGGGAGGCTCAGGCACATAGGTGTGGTCACCTCGTGGTGCAGCGAATTGCAAGGGCCAGAACTTAAACCCCAGCAGAGGCCTGCCCACCTGCCATGTGCTTTCTCTTCCAGAGTTCTGAAGACATCCGGTGTAAGTGCATCTGCCCGCCATATAGGAACATCAGCGGGCACATCTACAACCAGAATGTGTCACAGAAGGACTGGTAAGGCAGTGTGCGTGGCCAGCCGTGGTTACACACTGTTTGTCCATGATCCCAGAACCAGTTCCATCATTGCTTTCAACTGTCTATTTAACAACTATCAGGTGTCTTAAACTCCACCCAAGGGGTTCCTGGTCAGAGGAGTGGCTTACATTGCTTTGCTTTGGATTTCAGTCTTTATTAATGTATGCCAAATGGTAGTGGAGCAGGTGGAGGAGTAGGTGTCATGGCCGTGAGGAGGTTTCTGCCAGTCTCACAGCACCCTTGTAAAGTAGATGGGATGGGTATTGTTCCCATTTTGTAATTACAGAGACTGAGATCCAAAGAAAGAATTTAAATTATACACTTGGGGTTTTGGATTCATGTCTGGATGCCTCACTTTTAAAAGGAGAGGAATAACTTGAGAGTCTGTTCAGAGAAAGGACACCAGTTTGGCGAAGGGAGGTTTCAACACATTGTCCTTAAAGGATGGACTAAGGAACTGGAAACAGCCCGAGGAGGAGAGGACTTAGGGGCACTCAATGGCTCCTCAAGACCAGGAAAAGGACTGGCATGCAGTGGTGCAGTGGGCGGTGGGGCAGGTGGGAGCAAGTGCTTGTGGGGGCCAGTTATATTCAATGCAGTTTCTTAGTGTTGAATCGGGACCAAAGGCTGAAGGGCTGAAGGGAACAGATTTAAGTGTGAATCGAGGGAGCATTTCTAATCCAGGCAGCTTTAGGAGGAAGCCCCATCCTTGCAGGGATCTGGGCACAGATGGGGCGAGGTCACTGTGGAAGGAATTAACATGGGTCAGGGGATCTGGGTCACTGTTGCCTGGACTGAGTTATATGTGAGAATCATTGGGTGAGCTCGGGGAAAATACAGATGCCCAGCGAGCTTCCCTTCTAGATTTCGATCCAGTAAGTATGGTGAAGGGCAGCAGCTTTATTTCTTAAAGTCCCTTAAGTGCTTCTGATACAGTTGATCCAGAGCTCCATTTGAGAATTTTGACACTCGTTGAATTTCCAGCTCTAAGACAGACTGACTTTCCGGTAGGCTGTCTCTCATTAGATGCGTACACTCTATACTAGATCTGGCCTTCCTGAATTCAGGCCTAGTTTTTCCACTTGTTAACTGCATGATCAATGACTTAATATCCACTGCTTTGAATTCCTTGTCTGGAAATGATGGCAGTATTTTGAGCATTAAGTAAGTGTGTGTGTGTGTGTGTGTGTGTGTGTGCGTGTGCTCATATGTCCATACACACATAGTTAGGAGAACACTTCGAACAGGGCCCGCCACATAGTAAGTACTCTATAAGTATTGGATCGTCAGAAAAGTCATGACGTATTTTTTTATGCAGAAATGCCATGACTTTTTCGACGACCCGATATGGTAATAATGTTAGTAGTAGTGTAGATCGTCGTGCCCTGTAAGAGACCACATCAATGGCCTTCGTCAAGCTTCTGCTATAGCCCAAGAAACCTTGAGCTCCCTGGGAGCACTTGCTTCTTTCCCTCTGCTCCTGGCTTTCTGATGGACTGGCTTTCTGATGCCCTCCTTACATCCGTGGTTATAGCTTAAGTACCATCAGCAAATGCATCAATGCAGCCCGAGCCGCACACCAGACCACAGGGCTACCTCCTGCACTCCTGCCCAGAGACCAGCGGATTTTAGTACAGGTTGGGTATCCCTTATCTGAAATGTTTGAGACCAGAGAGTTTGTGATTTCAATTTTTTTTTTTTTCAGATTTTGAAATAGTTGCATGTACATCATGAGGTATCTTGGGGACAAGACCAACATCTAAAGACAAATGTATTAATATTTACATTTGATATACACCATATACACATAGCCTGAAGATCATTTTACACATTATTTTTATATTGTATCATTCTGACCATGACCCACCACATGAGGTCAGGTGTGGAATTTTCTACTTGAGGTGTCATGTCAGTGCTCCAAAAAAGGTTTGGATTTTGGAGCACTTTGGAATTTGCATTTTCCAACGAGGGATGCTCAGCCTTATAGCACTATTTACAGTATGGCCTGAAAACCCAAGCTTGGATGCCCACAGGGAGTAGAGTACCGTCAAGACCTCTCCCCCGATGCCGTAGAAGTCAGAGTTAGAGGCTGCCTGATGAGCAGTCATATATCAAGAACCTTAAGCTGGTTCTGCAGAGGGGGTGGATGGAAGCTGAGTCTGGGAGGTAAGAGCTAGCATTCTAGGATCCAGTGGTACCTCCTGCCCTGGTCAGGGAGTCCTCATTTGCTTGTCTCTAGCCCTTAAGGGTGGAGCAGGACCTTGGCATCCCAGCATGACCTGCTGGGGAGAGAGGAGGAGCCAGTGTGATTGGGTCTTCAGGTCTCTGCCCCGTTTTCACCCTGGGGTCCTGTGGGGCCCCTGCAGAGAGCAGAGTTGGCTGCTTCCCTGGTTTGTGGGAAATCAGTCAGGGCCCTTGGAGCTGCAGGCCTCTGGTGGAGGGGCCAAGCCATGAGTGTCCCTGTGCTGCTGTTCTGCCACCTAGTGTTGAGAGTTGATGACCACACAGGTAGAAAGTCCCCAGTGGCGATGTGACAAGGAACCTGGTGAAGGACCGATGTGAGTTGGCTGGTTCATTGCCCTATGCCCTTGTTACAGTCGGATCTTCTCAAACAAGGTCTGGTGGAAACACAGACTGTGTAACATAGAAAATCAGACTTAAAACCTGACCGAGGGATGGTGTTTCTCTGCCCCTCCTCACTGCCACCCTCTCCTGCACAGTGATTCCTGGGGTTCCCAAAAGGGCACAGTTTGGACAACACTGATAAGTCCACCCTCCATTCATAAATTAGGAAACTGAGGTTAAATTAATGACCTACAAGCACAAAATGAGCAGAAGGGCAGAGAGGTGAACCCAGCTCGTCTTCCTCTTCAGCTCTCTCCCCGGTGTCCCTGACCGGTCCATGGAAGCTTTCAATAGCACCCACATGGTAAATAGGGACCCTTAGGAGAGCCAGACCACGTGCAGGATTTCACCGATTCCTAGGAGGGCCAGAGACGCAAAACTATGCCAGCTCCTTACTGCGGATCCCTGGATAAAAGCACTCCGCCTTGAAGGACTCGAGTCAGCCCTTCCCTGACACCACACCTTGGGTCTGCCACAACCCAACTACAGCCCTAATCGACCTTCCAAAGTGTGACTCAGGAAGGGGGCACCTGGCACCAGGAGGCAGGTAGAGACTTGCGAGAGGAAGGAAGGTAGCATTCCGTCTGGACAGGAGGAAGCAGGGCACAGACCTGCCAGGGGGACCCATAACTGCAGCAGGAGAGACCTTTTTCTGCAGCACTGAGTAATGGAGTGCAAGCTGCTGCCCAGGGATGGAGCCAGGATCACCAGTGATTTCTGTAAGCTCGTATATGCCATGCACTGGGTTTTTAGGGGGACAGTGTCTCTCAGAGGACAGCCCACTCTTATTCAGCACACCCTCTTCACATCACATACCTGTGCCAGAAACCCACCCTGATAGCTCGGAAGGAAGAGCAGGCCTGACTGTTTGCAGGGGGCTGTGCTGACTCCCGCGGGACCTGTCAGGACGGGCCTCTCACAGGTCATCTGGCATACCGCTGCAACTCAGGAGAAGAGCAGCTGTTTAGTGGCAAACCCAGGACAGTCCAGGCCCGCCGTCCATCACAATGCCATGCCTCGCTCCCCTCTGCAAACCTTGGAGGGTTTGGTCTGATATTGCCAGCGGGGATGGCAAGGGAGCATGCCATAGGGTGTGCTTGCTCGGTGGTCCGTCTGAGGAAGGCCAGGAGTGAGAGGCCAGAGTTTAGAGCCCAGCACAAACCCAGGCCCCACCAAAGCTGAGAGTCAACGTGAAGACATAGGGGCCAAGGGTCTGGCCCATGGCAGAAATGCCACGTTGCCTTCCAAGCCTGTCCCAGTCCACACATGGGCTCCAATCTCTCACCCACCTTGCTCAGGAGCGTGTTAGGTAGGGGTGGGCCAGATGGACTGCCGGGGACATCTAAGAGCATTTGGGTCACTTACTGAGTCCTGCCCAGGCCAGCAGTGTGTGAGGCACTGGGGTCATGAAGACGCGTAAGCCCTGGCCCCTGTCCTCAAGGGATGTAACATCTACTGGGGGCACCAGGGCAAGTAAGCTGGGATCTCAGGGTGTGCGGTCTCCACAGTGGGAGAGGTCAGACCTTTGACCCCCGAGTCCTCAGAGTGGCAGAGAGGTGTGGTGTGGGAGGTGCGCAGTGGAGAGAACAGCGCCCCGGATCAGCTGAGTGGGAGCACAATAGGAGATGGGGCTGGAGTGTGTGTGGGGGCGTAAGGGGGCTGGGACCCCAGGCCAAGCAGCTTCCTGAGCCCGCACCCTGGAGGCACTGACTGCCTTTAAGCTGGGGAGTGCCGTGACCAGAGTTTGACGGCATGATCATGAGGCTGCCCTGGGAACGTGCCACACAGTGCCAAATCAGAGCCAGGAGCACAGTGGGGAGGCCGGCAGCCCTCGGGGGGGGCTGTGTGGGCCTTGTGGAGGGGGCGGAGGGGTGGGTTTCAAACCTCAGGGAGGCAGTCACTGACACAGGGCAGGGCCAGAGGTGAGCCCCCGGTTCGGACTTGGCAGTAGAGTGGATTGACCCCATGGGAGGGGGAGGGGCGGAGTTTTTGTGGTCCCTGTGGACTCTCCAGTGGTGACCCTGTAGGTAGCTAGCGGGTACATGAGTCCAGCCTATAAGAGGAGAGAAGTCCTGACCAGATTCTGGCCTGAGGTGCACCACCTTCCGAGCTAAAGGCTCAGGAATGGAGGCCCCAGGGAGAGGCACAGCGGGAGCCCAGACACCCTGGACAGGTGCGGGGAGCTGGTTGTGCTTGCCTCATGGAGGCCTCACAATTGGGGGCTGCTTCTGCCTCATGGGAGGCTGGTTTTGAGGCAGAGGCCAGGGCTCTGAGGCTGTGGGCTGGGAAGGGGGCTCTGCCAGCCTGGCCCTTTGTAAACCCCCCGCCCAACCTTTCTCCACACGGGGCTGCCGCTGCCTGTGGGAGGTCTCGGGCCCTGCCCCATGGCTGCCTGTGTGTGTTGCAGCAACTGCCTGCACGTGGTGGAGCCCATGCCGGTGCCCGGCCACGACGTGGAGGCCTACTGCCTGCTGTGCGAGTGCAGGTACGAGGAACGCAGCACCACCACCATCAAGGTAACCACCCACGGCCCCCCCTCCACCCCGTGGGGCTGCGCCCGCTGACTGGCTTTATTCCGGAACACCCCTGAGTGCTGTGGGACTGGCCTCTGGGTGGGCGAGTCCCAGGCACATGGAGCACTTCCTACCTGGGAGTGGCTCAGGCACTGGCTCAGGGTCTCTGCTGTGTCCCATCCTGTGCCCATCACAGTGAACAGGGACCCGGGAGGGCCGCCCAGTCCCACCTCTTCCTCCCACTCTTCCTGGTGCTGCCCCATCCTCTCTCCCATTTGTGCATAACCACTACGGGTGCCCACGGTGCCCGGGCACTGTGTCAGACGTGGGGAATGACAGGCAGGCCTGCCGTCCTGGGGCTCACCTCTCACACAGCTCCCGGGGTGACGCCAGCTCCTGTGAAGCTGCAGAGCTGTGGGCTAGGCTGTGCAGGGCTAGGGCTGGGCCGGGCTAGGACTGGGCCTGGGGCATCGGGCCACTTCCTGACCTCGTTCTCGTCCAGCATTTTCATGAACGTGTCATGGATTTGAGCTTTGTCAGGCCTCTTCTGTGGTGCTGTGTTTGCAAGGAGGTGGGTGATCTACACTGCCTGCGCACCCTGCTCTGTGCCATAGCTCGGCTCTCGGCTCTGCATTCTGGCCTTTCCGAGCAAAAGCTCTGTTTCCAGCCAGCCCAGTCACGGCCGATGCAGTCACCACTCGGTCACACTGTCAACCGCTCTGTCATCCTCCACCTGGGGCAGCCCCTTAGGAGCCCCCACTCCCCTCTGAACCTGCTCCAGTGCACTCTACCCTGGGGACAGATGCCTGAGGCCTTAAATCCCCAGCCAGATGTCCCCTCACTGGACACAATGTCCTAACCCCTCACATTTCCCTTTAGCCGTCCTGCCTCGGGGCCTCCCCCACACCTCACATCCCGCAGAGCCAACTGAAGACCCAGGCTCCATTCTCTGGTCCCTTTCCCGCTGATTGCATACCCTCTTTAAGGAGGCCTGGACCCTGACGCCTTCAACAGGGAGGGAGTTGGCCGAGTTGAATGTGGCTGTTGACTGAACTGAAAGGCCCGAGGTCCTCCTCCTCTTCTCTACCCTTCTTCACATTCAGTTTAGGGCCAGGCCTGGCTCAGAAGCCAGCATGGCCAGGTGTGGTGGGAGTAGAGAAAGCAGTGGTGATGGACAGCAGATGTGCATTCTGCCACACCCTCCCATGACCCAGCCCCGAGACCCAGTCCCTCCTAGTCCTGCCTCGGTCACTGCCTCGGGGTCCCTGTCTCCCCAACCGATGGAACGAGAATCGAGCAGAGTCCCGTCCTCAGGCAGGCCGGTGTCTCTGCAGGTCATCATTGTCATCTACCTGTCGGTGGTGGGTGCCCTCCTGCTCTACATGGCCTTCCTGATGCTGGTGGACCCTCTGATCCGGAAGCCAGACGCCTACACCGAGCAGCTGCACAACGAGGAGGAGAATGAGGTGACTGGGACCCGGGGTGCCCGGCAGCGAGTCCCCTGGCAAGGCTCACAAGAGCATCACTAGGACCGTTCAGTGTCCTGCATGTCACCCAGACCAGCAGGGACTGCCCTTTCCTTCCCCATGCAGCAGGAAGAACCCCGAGTCTCCCCAACACCTGGCCTCGGGCAGCCACATCTTCCTGGTATGCTGTATTTCTAGATGTGGGCACAGTGACCCCAGGGCCAGCCATGCGTAGGTCACACCAGGTGCTGCTTTTGCAGGTGTCAGGACAGCTGGTACGCCTGTGGGTGGCAGGGTCAGCCTTTTGTCCGGTGGCTCCACAGACATCCACTGAGCACTTGCTCTGTGCAAAGCACAGCCCGGGTCCTTGGGGGAAAGTGGGCGTCCATGGGCGGTGGAGGGAGCTGGTGGTGCCAAAGCAGTCATCACTGTGGCGTGAGGGATTTTGAGTGTTTAGAGGATGGAGTAGGAATAGCGGCAAGCAGAGCTGGCTGGTAAGTTCAGGCCCCAAATGTCAAGCTGAGGGGTTGGGCTTTATTTGATAAGGAAGACGAGGAACCTCTGACGTTGCACCCTGCCAGAGCTCAGGTGGCAGTGGGGCCTGGCAGGGATTGGCCCGGGCCTGGCATTGCTAACAATGCTCTCACCCTTTTCCGGTCCATCCCGTACTCCAGAGCTGTGGATGCAGAGGAGAGGACCTCCAGGGTAGGGTGGAAGGAGGCCCTAGGCGAGGAGCTCTCTGTGGGAGTGAGGTGAGGTCTGCACAGTGACCAGCTGGCATGGAAGGGCATTCTCTGACGGAGTCCTGCCTCCCTGACCACTTTGCCTCTGCTCCCTGTGCATACTCGCACACAGCGGGCTCGGTGCACAGGACAGCGATGAGTGTGGAGAGACTCAACAGAGTGGCCACTTGGGGGCTCTGGTGCCCGAGACAGGGCAGGGCCCTCTGGGGCTTGCTGCTCACAGCCGGGACTAGGGAGGCCCTGGCCACAGGGCCTCACTACTGGACGGTTCTGCTGACCCACGCAGTGAGATGCGGTGAGGAGACTCGTGCACTTGTGTCTAGTATTCCCACTCGTGTCTCATGGGAACACGTTCCAGGAGGATTAGTCGAAGACACTGGGAGATGGTTAGCTTGAAGAAGAAAACTCAAGGAAGATTGTGGTAGCTGCCTTCGGAAGTGTGTAGACAGGAGCTTAGCCTCACCCAAGGGCAGGAGGGCTCATAGTTGGGACTTCAGGGGAGAGTTCACACTGCATGTAGGAGAGAGTCTTCCTGCAGACGGGCAGTCCGACGGGGTGCTGGGCTCTGCTGTAGGGTAGGGAGTTGTAAGTCCCAGGAGGTAACAGGCATGGGCTGAACTGCCACAGGGTGGTCATGGAGAGCCTTTCAAATACTGGATTGGAGACAGGAAATGGTGAGTTCCCCACCCAAAAGAGGTTGGGCCTTAGATCTGAGCCTGGAGCTGCAGGAATGGTCGGCATGTACAGGGCACAGGGACTGGCCAAGCTCGGAGGCCAGGCCCCTCCTGCTGGCCCAGCTGCTTTTCCCAGGCACAGGCTGGACAGTCTTCCCGCTGACCCCCAGCCGCCTGCTGGCATGAGATTGGCCAGAAATGGAGCCAAGGGGGTGAGGCTTGCCCCCCGGTGGTAGGGCGCTGGCAGTTGGGTGGTCTGCTCAGGAGGAAACCTTTGCCTGTCTACCTGCTTATTAATGTGGAGTAATAGCAGGCCTGATGGGGAGGAGCCTCGCTAATAGACGCTCAGCAAGGGGGTAGCGTGGTAATTGCAGTCCTGGCCGGGGTCTAATTGAGAGCCGTGGCCGATGATTACACAGCCCGGCACCGTCTCCCCGGAATGCATGGCTCTCGGGCACGGCCTTGGCGTGTCTGCTGCCATCCTAGCTTTGGAGCCAGAGAGAGGGCAGCTTGCCATCTCAGGGTCTGAGCCAGACCCCTCTTCCCTGCAGGAGACATGGGGGCCCCTACTTGGAGGGTGTTTGTGTGAGGGGCCTTGGGCACAGGCAGCTCTGTGGGGCTGGTGAGCCCGTCCTCTAGGCTGTAGAGAGGGGTCCTGCCTGGGGAGGAACGGGACGGCACCTCATTCCCACCCTGAGGTGCTAACGCATCGTAAGGAGTCGTGTTTCATCTTTCGGGACCCTGACCTGGAGTGCAGCCAGCTCTGGCTGGTTCGCCGTGCTCCTGGGGCTGGGTCGGGGGCTCTTGTGGTGGGCACCCTCCAGGTGGGTGCAGAAATGCCCTCTGTTCTGAGTTGGCCTCTCCCCCACCCCACCCTGCATCCTCTTGCCTCCTGTGAATTAGCCCATCGTGGTGCCTTGGCTGGCAGCTCAGGTGACAGGCCCTAGGTCTGCTCTTAGGGGTGTAAGCCCAGGGCGGCCATGACCGGATGCATGAGCAGGAAGCAGAAAGGCTGCCAGTGACATCGGGCTTCCTGAGCTGGACGGGCAGGAGAGAGGCAGAGTGCTGGGGGAGGGTCCCCTTACTGGACAGGGGTAGGGAAGTTTTCCTTCTCTTTGTGTTAGCTGGGAAGAAAGGGTTCCTGGCAGAGGAGGATTTTCAGAGCCAGCTCTGGATGGCTGGGAGAGGGACCGCTGAA